TATCCTTTTCTTTTTTACGGTTGTGGGATCTTTTTGTTTTATTATCATTTTAATCTCTTTAAAAATTTGATTTTCTTTACAAGATATTAAAATTGAAAGACAAACTGAATGATATATTTATATATCTAATCAATTATTGAGAGTAATGAATATGAACGCTTCAAAAGTGTAATGATAGCATGTAGCTCAAGTTAATTCTTTGGTAATGTTTCATTCTCTGAACTGTATAGTTTGATAAGTAAATTTTTATTATCTTTTTTTATGGACAACACTGTCAGTAATCATTTTTAAAAAGAAACAATTCTACTTGTATTTAACTAGGGAATTTTAATGGAATATGTGTAATAAATTATTTTCAAATATTAACATTTAATTGAAGTATAATCTGATAGTGTTACGTAAAACAACAAAGTTATGCTGTGGTGCGTGCTATTTATATTGACATAAGTAGTATATTACGCGAGTCAGGAACGTAATGTCGGCAGCAGAAGATGAAGGAAGATCAAGAAAGCAAGAGCGAGAATAGAATGCAATTTGTATGAAAATGTAAGAACAAGGAAGTCTGAGTCATTTTCAGACAACTGGTGGACATTTTGCAAATTAAGGATTTAATATATAGTTGTCAGGTTTTATTGGATTATTTATTGGGAAAACCAAGGTCCTCAAATTCAAAGCGGAGGATAGCAATTCAATCACTCTTGATGGCAAAACTCTGGAAGATGTAGAGTCCTTCACATACCTGGGAAGCATCATCGATGAACAAGGAGGTTCAGATGCATACGTAAAGGCGAGGATTGGTAAAGCAACGGTAGCATTCCTACAATTGAAGAACATATGGAACTCAAAACAACTTTCAACCAATATCAAAGTCAGAATCTTCAATACGAATGTCAAGGCAGTTCTACTGTATGGAGCTGAAACTTGGAGAACTACAACAACCACAATCAAGAAGTACAAGTATTTATAAATAGCTGCCTACGTAAGATACTCAACATCCACTGGCCGGATACCATCAGCAATAGCCTTCTGTGGGAGAGAACAAACCAGCTTCCAGCTGAAGAGGAAATTAGGAAAGGACGATGGAAATGGATAGGACAGACATTACGCAGATCGTCAAACTGCATCACGAGGCAAGCCCTAACTTGGAATCCTGAAGGGAAGCGAAAAAGTGGAAGGCCAAAGAACACAGTGCGTCGGATTATAGAAGCAGATATGAAAAGGATGAATTACAACTGGACGGAGCTGGAAAGGATTGCCCAGGACAGGGTTGGATGGAGAATGCTGGTGAGTGGCCTATGCTCCTTCACGAGGAGTAACAGGCGTAAGTAAGTAAGTGTCAGGTTTTATTGAAATGCTCTGTAATTTTGTGTCAATTACATTCGGTTGTCCCCACCCGTGTTCTGTTCACTACAATGCAATTGAAATATACAACTCAGAAAATGTGAAATTTCCAAAGTCACATTTGAATTTCCTAGGTAATTCACGCGAAATTTACTGTAAGTATGATATACATATATATATACAGTAGCGGATGTGTCAGTACAGGCTAATCAATGAGATTATTTATGAAAATGCTATGTTCACTTTACTGATTAATTTCATTATAAAGCTTCCACTCTTTTTCTTACTTACAGCATCATTAGGATAAATTTCACTGGGGTGCCCTGTTTCGTAATATGAACAGAATTCCGTAGATAATACATGGATTTATGCTTAATAGAAATCTTGGTAATGACCGATAATAGATATCTTAGAGTTTCAGAAAATTGATTGATCATCTGAAATTTGCGCATTAATTGTTTGTCACTACTTTTTAAGTAAATAGATTTGATCTTGTCTAACAATTTAAATGGTTTGAATTATTTTTCTGGTAAGCGTTTTTTTAGCGCGTTAGTTTTCTATAGGATGGAGGAAAGCTGGAAAAGATTGCCCAGGACATGGTTGGATGGAGAGTTCTGGTGGGCGGCTTATGCTCCTCCACGAGGGGTAACAGTAAGTAAGTAAGTTCTCAAACAAATTAACGAATTTATCGTGACAATTACATTTTTATGAAAAAGATATATAAATAATACAAAAACAATCTTAGCTCAATAATTAACCAAGTTGTTATAACACTTATTTCTAAATTTTTGAATACCTCATTGAGTGTTATAGCTCATATATCGCTTCTACAAAAAGCGGGACTAGATTATTCCTTTGTACACTAAACCCAACATAAATGTATATCAGATTGGTGTATCAGCTGACTGTTTCATCTCAATTTACATCTCTTTTAGTAGGATACAATCACAACTATACACAAGATCAAACCAAATATTGCCTACAACACGATTAGATAGAAAACCAATAGTTTATATTTTTAACTTCAGTTCACTAATTGTACAACTCTTCTTAGTTTTCAATAATTCTCTAAGTGACGTTATGTAATAAAGTCTATACTCCTCTAATTGTACTATATTGCAGTAAAACTAATTTGATGAGTATTTAAAAAAATCCTATTAAGCAGTTCATATAACAATGTGAAAAAAATATTTCATATCAACAGTCCAATTTTGGTTTGCAAATGTCTAACAACTGACGATATAACTGTTATATAAAGATAGAATGCAATAAAAGACCTTAGTTTTGAGTTAGTTTTAGATATTGGTCATGAAAAAATTCTTTTATTCAAAGTTTATTTTCTTAGCTATGACTTTTTTTGTAATGTTGTTTAAACGTAGCTTATATTCAGTCATCAGATGAGGTATTTGAAATGAATCCCATCTGAAAACAATCTTGTCGTTAAGTAAGCACATCTTTGTTAGCTTTTCTATACTATCCATATTTTAAACATATTGAAATGCATATCTTAGCTGAATTGAATTGTTTATTCATGTACATACATAATACTTATTATTATACTTGCCAAAATGACCTACAATTGTTTTTCTTTTTTCAAATTTAACTTATAAAAAATGATAGTAAGTTGTGTTATCCATTAATATGAATGATCTCTCCATGTAACACAAAAAAAATCCACTTTTTAAAGTGTAAAATCAATTGATTAAAGGTGTATATGAGTTGAGATTAGATGGTGGTTGGAGGTAGTCAACAGGAAACCCTAGACCCGGGTTTCGTGCTACTTGGCACTCGTCAGCAAGGTGTACCTGTAATCTTAAGGGAACTGGTGCTTCTTGGCGGATTCGATCTCGTGTCAACCAGCTTCAGAGTCATAGGCATTAACACTGAGCTATCCGAGCCGTGACCAACCCCTTGTAGGACTGAGATGTAATCATAACTGATTGATCACTGGGTGGCGATCAATGTCATGCGTGTCTAGTCCTTATTAGTGCAGACTGGTGATCACATCGCACCATGATCGATAGCATTCGATCTGCACTAATAAGGACTAGACACGCATGACATTGATCGCCACCTAGTGATCAATCAGTTTTGTATATGAATTATTTTACCCTCAATACAATATTTATTTGAAAGATTTTCAATATGAAAGGACTTTGCTAGGGAATATTATTTAAAGCATTACTAGGTAACCTGTCAAATTTCGTTGAAGTTTGAAAAGTTTTATCAAAACGTTTAGAGTGTATAATTTAATTTTGAAAAATTATTGACTAAAATTACTGCATAGGATAGGGGATTTGTAGAAATTGTCAAATTTCAGTAGTTTTAATCAAGAACTAATCTTACATGCACCGACATTGAAAGCCAGAAATCAGTAAATAACTATTTCATATTAGTGTGGGAATGCTTACCTACTGCGTATAGCAGGAAAAAGAGCCCGGGATCCTCGGTCTAGTGCGCTAATACTTAAACTGTAAATAAATGAGCAGGCATCCAGTAGCTTACATGTCTAATCAATATTGCTTTACCATTTTCCATCGTCTGTCATGGATAACTATCACAGTAACTTAAAGTTAAATGTTCGCTTAGGAGACCGTGGGTTTCAGGTTCTTTTTCCTGTTACACGCTCTGGCGAGCAGTCCCTACACTAATATGAAACAGTTGTTTAGTGCTTTCTGGTCTTCAATGGTAGTCCAAGTAATATTAGTTCTTGATTGAGACTACGGAAATTTGATGATTATCACAAACCCCTATCCTACTTAGTAATTTTATTCCGTGACATATTGAGATCACATTTATTGACTTTTAAGAATATTTATTTAGTTACTGATAAATTACTTCAATAAAATGGTTTACGATTGTTTCGAAATCGAATAATCTAGTCGATCAGTTTTTTCATTGCTTTCAGTGAGGATATATATATCATTATTGATTTATGGCAAGCATGAAAAATGTAACACATCTGTAGGTGTCAAATATGGACCCGAATATCTCTAATTAATTAAGAAATATCAAGAAAAGAACAACACAAAAATAAATTATTTGTAATTGGTTTACAGAAGTGCCAAATTTTAACTTACTATAAACAAATAACTTTACAAGCATTCTGTTTTGTATGGCATAATTTACAAGTTAACTCTTTATAGTTATTCAAATTATTCAAGTATGCATACACAAAAAAGTTAACGCTGATCCTTCCATGTACCTTACACTTAATTAATAAATATTTAAGACTTAATTGTTGAAGTTACTCTTAAAGTCAGGGAATAATTTGTCTCATTTATTAAAATCAATAACTCATTACAGGTTTATTTACTCCACTTCAGTTACAACACATTGTGTGGATTCTGCTCATGCTACCCAGTTGCTTAAACAGACTTAAGTAGGAAACGATTATAAATAACAAAGGAGTTGGTAAATTTAAAATATTTTATACCTTTACATTAAAAACCTGAATAATATGGGACTTGAAGTCAAAAATATCTACCATAAACCTCCAATTTGTATTAAGGTCTATATTAGAGTCTATGAAAATGACAAATATTATTGGAATTTCTATGAGACTCTAACTTAAAAGTCTCTCAAACTCAAAATTAGGGTTAGGTAGTAAACAGATAGTAAATCACAAATAAATAGATTTATCAAGAATTTTTCATTACCTGAAATCCAAATTATCCAAGGTATAGAATAAATGTATACATTGAACATGATGATAATTTTAACGACAAATATACACGAATATCAATGAAAATTTTGACGACGACGATGATAATAATAATAATGATGATAATAGTGGAAAGGATATTATATAAATCATAATATTTTATTACCAATTCTCATCTTATATTTATTCATAAAAGTTTCAACTCCCCACGCATTGTGTTCATATTACTCTTATTTACATGAGTAATATAAATACACAAGAAATTTTATATAATCTTTGAGAACAAGTTATTATTGTTTATGATTATTTATTTACTTCCTAGTTTATAATGATAACTTTCTCCTTAATTGTTAAACTTGTATGAATAATAATAATAATAATAATAATAATAATATAATCAACTCAACTCAACCAATCATAGTGCAGTTATGATTGTTTTTTTTAGCAGTCAGATATTATGAAATCTGATGTTGATATAATAAGTATGAGAAGAAGAAGAAAAACAGCCACAACAAAACAATATTTCAGCATGCAACAATCCTTGAATGAATAAAAATTCTATGCTTAAAATGTACGTTTTCCTGAATATAAGTTTGACTAAATAGTTAGATATTTTGGGATTATTATTTAATTAAAAAGTGAAGTTGATTTTGTGAATTTATTTTTTCTTATTTTCAGTTAATAATTAATCGGTTTATTGTTTAATCTACAAATAAATTTATGCGAGACTCTAATTTATGGACTAGGCAATCAGAGGCGTTTTAGAGGTTTCAAGGTTACGGCGCCAACTTCAGTGCTTAATGCTAACGATTGGTTCACATGGAATTTCGTACAAAACGTGATAATTGAGCGGCTATAACAAATAAAACGGCGGGACTATAATTTGTGGACGAATCAATCAGGTATAAGATAACAGATCTCGGATTTGGGCGCGAAAGCCTTTCATCCATTTGGCTAAATAAATTTCTGACATTATAACTGATGTCAGTTCGTGATGACAACCCAATATATAATTCATAACTGAGGCAAATTACGACAATTATTGCTAACTGGATAATAAAAGCACTAGTGACACTGGCTGCAGCCAGGTACTACAATGTATACGGATGTTTGGAGAGCGTACAGACTCCTACATAGGCTTGGTTATGTGCATCGTGTCGTTATCCACAAGTAGCATTTTGTGCACTAGACAACTGGTGTGCACATAAACAATATTGAAGCTATGTGGTCGAGGCTGAAAGCGTTTTTGAAACTTTATCATGGCTCCAGGGGCCGACTATTCTGTAGCCGTATGGATGATTTCCTCTACTGCATGCATTACGATTTTAGAACCTCTGAACCTCTTTCTAACCTTGACAATTTTTGAACCACGTATAAGAAGTGTGTCTACTTTATTTCTTTGGTTTTGTATAACATATTTTTACTCTACACTGACTGTTTGCTGATTGGCTAGTATTTCTCAGGGTTACTTATGATTCGTTCAAACGTCGTCCACAAATTAGAGTCTCGCCATAAATTTTAGTGTCATTTTTTTGCAGAAAAAAATTGACATCATTTATGAAATGTATGGAGATTGACTCTACTTAAATTGTACAAAATAGGTAAAGGGAATAGTGTTCAATTTAATCATGTGCTTACTAGCAACGAATGTTGCGAGATGATTCGCCAAGTTCTTAGAAAATTCTGTAGGCATGAGCTTTCAGTGACTCCAGCTGTGAAGTAGTTATCTACTAATGGATTCAGAAGATGGTTAGGCAATGTTGTGCACTGACTACGTGCTAACTTCATAGTCTAAAGGGTAGGTGCCCGTCGCAAGCCTTGAAGATCGCGGGGTTGGTACCGGGTGGGGTGGCAGATGTACAATAATGAGGAGTCTTATATTTGTGAAAAACAGCCGACCAGTACTTCGTGGTTTACAACATTTCTTTGACTAAGGTGTGGTATAAAAATTTCATAATTTTCACGCTTTACAAGATTCTGTGCATTCTTTTCCTTACTTTGTTTGGCCGTTCGTTCACCTATGAAGCTTTTTTCGAATTAGCTGTACTATAGTGAACATATATATATATATATATATATATATATATATATATATATATATATATATATATATATATATATATATATATATATATACCCGATTTCCAAGCATGTAGAAGATGCAAAGAACCTTCCTTTTTTAAGTTTGCTTCAACTAGCATTCATTTATGTCAACCACATAATATGCTTAAAAACGTTTACGAAAAGCGTCTCATATTTAGAATCATTTGTTATCTGATGATTCATTCGTTAACATCATACCATTGAGCATGTTTCTCACCTTATCCACTCTCAGAGAAGCTTAATGGGTTTTTCGTAGGAAATCACAAACGAAATGAATACTAGGGTGAAGAGAATGTTATGTACATAATTGATAAGCGATAAACACTTCTATTTTAGCGATTACTTTATATCATTCGTTGAACCTAACGCCACATGGAGCCTCTGGCGCAGATTCGTGAACAAAATTAAAATGAAATGAATGAATCATCGAATCAATTAAGCGACCAGCAGTAAGGCTAGCAGAATGAATATATGCGTAGTCAGTAGGCAGCACTCAAGCATACATGTTCATTCAAGTGAAACCATAGTAAGGGTACAATGGTATAGATAAGTTGTTGTTGTACGAATGACTCTATCAGTTAAATAAGTTAATGAAAGGGCCCAATCAAATTAAACGTGAACAAACTCAATTGCACATGAGGTGCTATAACCCAGTTGACGAAAGTCTAGCTGTCCGCATGGCAGATTCGACGAGTTTCCCGAGTTTGATACTTCAGTTTCTTTTGCTCATTATCTGGAGCAAACTGGAGATAGCCAGCTTACTTATTCATATGTGCCTTTTGATGCTTCTAAATTTGAATATAGAGCAATGTTATATATTCAGATCATATAAGAGTGAGATTTCTAACTATAAGGATAAATGCTACTAATTTGAGAACTGCCATTATCCCACTTTTAAAATTTACCTCTTAGACTCGAGTGTTTATAAATCAACTAAAATGACCCTTAGGCCAAGCAATATTTGGGACTGACTCTAATAGAGTAATTTACAAAATACAAAATGAGTCGGCAAGTTACGCCGACATTTTTAATAAAATATCAAGTATATTCGAAGTCGTAGTGGTAGTGGATCCTAACCACACGATGTTTGAAGCCAAATATATATTTCTTGAGAAGATTTGATTTCAGCATGTAACACTATTTTGCTGGGTGGTTTACTATATTTTTGACGCTTCATAGTTCTGATTATCATTCCTACAGTCATGTAGTAACTAGGCTAACTGCAGCAATCACTTTCAATCATTGTACTATATAATTTCTATGCTATTTCAACTTAGCAAGCATTTGAACCTCTATTTATGCTTCCCACTAAACTCATTATAGTCGTTATTCCTAGGCGTTGTTAAGTTTGTCTTACATTGTTCCTACTCGCTCCCTTTTCACTCGTTTGCATATTGTTTTATACTACTTAGTTGCACTCAGTAGGCAGTTACATTTTAGTAGTAGGCTCTAGAGTTTTATTGTGAATGCTCGCTTGACTAACTACGTTGACGATACCACAAGTATTTGGAGTTTGATAACACTTTAACCAGTAACACCTAATATGAATCGTGTCCATCCAGTGAAATCAAAAGTTAGAGGCGAGGAGGTTTGAGGATATATTTGATGAGCTATCAATATATCGAGAAGTGGCTAATCTAAACTGATTAGCGGTCGCAGGAGAAGTTGAACTCGGCGTTCCCACTCGTGATCTGGTGTGGATGCAAGACCGAGCGCATTCAGCTAGATGAGTCCATTGAAACTAATGTGGCCAGTATCCAATGTCGAAGACTTACAGAGCTATTTATTTTGGCAATTTTTTTACCGCTACAATTAGTTCTGTGTCCAAACCAAATATTCATATTTCAGTCGTTACATCTTGCATTTTTCGCAGTACTAAATCATAGTACGGTTAAGCAATAATGAAGTTGAGAAAATCTCCCCTTAACTAAATAAACAGTATCAAACTTAACAAATCGACTGGACCTACAGTTAGGATACGTACTATCCGCGATTATACTTCTGTTAGTCGACTAGTTCAGATGCTACTGTAAATCAACATATACGGACAGCATACCGGTATAAACGTTGACTGACATTCTAATTTAGACCAATATCAACATTGATGCAATAGTGACTGTTCTTCAATTCCTGAATACCAAATACTTACATTACCCACAAGTTAAGCTATCAACCAACGGCTATTACTATGTAGTGACTCACATTTATCACGAGAACACGACTGGTTTATTAAAAACAATTATTATTATAACCAACTGTACCAGTGTTTGTTTTAATGTGCTTTTGTTTAACTGTGCTAATTATAGCCATTTTGTGCTTCCATTACCTTCCATCATTGTTCCGCGGTTTTTGGTACTGTTCGCACGTACTCCTGTCTTCTGCTTCCACTTGTACCACTTCTTGGCACGATCTCGGTATTCGTTCAATACCACGAGATCGCCAACGAAATAAATCTGGTTACGTTCAACCTCGCCTTCTGATTTGTCTGGCACGTGTTTCTTGGTAGCGGTGTTCACAGTTAATCTCAACTCGACGCCACGCTACATTGGTGATCCCAAAGTTTGGAACACGCCTCAACCTCGGGTCAAATCTTCCAAAGAAGTCAATTTGGTGAGTCTATTATTTATCTATCCACGTCTGTCGTATATTTTCATATTAATTTTTAATATATAATATACACGACATGACGGATAACGATAAGAATACTATTAATGTTATAGACTCAGACGTACAGGCCATTCATTTTCGACCTGTATCATTTATCCCCCACGACCCTGAGGTCTGGTTTGCTGCTTTAGAGTCTCAGTTCGAGACTCGTCGCATCACGAGCCAAAGGCAAAAATACGCCTACGCTCTCGAGTCATTACCCGGGGACCATTTAGTAGCTGTTCGTGAGGTTGTCCTCAATTCTAACGTGCCTAATGTTTATGACCGCCTCAAG